GCTAAGGACTAACGAGGTCTTACCTTTTAACGTGTGATTCCTAACACGGCGGTCGATTTGTGTGAGTGAACAAAGCATTCACGTCGAACCGACCTGCTACCATCATATTCAACAAATTGAAATTATACAAAGGCGTTTTCCTAAATTAATATTCTCAAAAAAATGGTAGGTATCCTTCTGATAGACTATTCATCGAAACTCGTATGTTAGACATATGACAGTTGTATATTTTATACTCTAGCAATAAATATCATACAAATAGACATACGGCATCGCTTCCTTCACATCAGTATCACACCCGCCAAAGAGATCAGTATACTACATCCCTAATGGTCAGGGTCGTTACACAAAGATCGTTTACTTACTTTGCGCCTAAACTCTACAACCGAGTTCCTGAAAATATTAAATCTATCTCAAATATCAATCGCTTCAAAAAGAGTTGAAAGAGCATATTCTTCAAAGTCAGAGATTTGAACTTCTACGTCTATTTGAGAAGAAGGGAAAAAACCATACGTACATCTGCTATATTGTCCACTTACAATTCTGTAATACATATGGTTTATATATGTATGTATATATGTTTATACATGGGCACTATCGTTTTGTTAATATATATCACATCCATGTTCAACAACATCCATATCGATTTCAACATGTTTTTATACAGTGCATTTCTTTAATGCCCCTCTTTTTATTTTTTAAGATATCAACTCAAAAAATTGAAATTTAGGATAATGAAATTAATGCATGAATATTTCATTTTAAAGTGAAATTGATAGATAAAACTTTCAAGATGGCAACTGGCCGCCATCTGAGGAAAAAATTAAATAGAATGGTGGCTCTTGACACATCTTTTTGAAGCTCCTGACAAATGCTTCACAACTCTAGAATATAATGTTTATATCTTCAACTACTACAAAATGGTGGAACTTTTAATAATTACCTGAATACATTGACATTTAACTACATAATATGAAGTAATAAGCTTGAGGTCCGTTTAGAAGATGCTCGAAACGGTTGCTTTGAACTTCTTGACATATGAACAGCCTATCCGATATTTCACGCCGAACATTTTCGAACACAGTGACGTCAATATCCCCACAAATATTTATTATTCTCTGCCGTATATCCAATACTGAAGCAAGTTCATTTTCGTTCAACTTTTGCTTCAAATAGCCTCATAAAAAAAGTCCAGAGGTATCAAATCTGGAATGCTGGCCATTCTGTAGGACCTCGACGACCAATCCAACGACCGAGAAAAGTAATATCCAATGATCTGGACGACTGTGAAACCAAATCTAATCAAATTTAGTTCTTTAAGCCACGGCAATGAAATGAAACTATAAACATCAGATATTCTGAAGGTACTTGACATTCACAAAATATTGGCTGGTAAACTGAATAAGGGTAGAAATCAAAATCTGAATGTGCTCCAAATTTGCCATTTAATCATGTGTAAAACAAATTGTAATGAATCAATAATGATCCTAGGTAAAAGTACGCTTTCATTTACCTAAAGATAGTCCAGGTAAAAATATCAGTAAAAGTATTACTTATAAGATTCATGTCATAAAAAAATAATTATTAGGAATGGTATTAAAAATTACCTCACCAGAGTATACTTAGTTCAGGTTTACATTATGAATGGATTAACTCAAAATTCACTAATTGTATCATGTTAATAAAACAGTATTTCTAATGCAAAAAGTAGTTATTTCCGGAAAAATGAGTCAAGTGTAAGTAATATTTGCCTGTTAGTTTCTCGTCGAGCTGTAGCTGCAGTTTTCTTCGACCAGGAACGGGGCAGACTTGGAGCACGTACTTTTTTAAATTTCAAAGTGGACTTTGACTATCGTATGGACGTAGACAATAACATATATCGAACTGGACGAATAAAAAACCCACCATTCCGTATATTAACTGAAAATCTATTCCGTAAGGCAATCAGAGATAGAAGTACTTGTTTTTCCTTCTTTAATGATTCCAAACAAGTTCTGTAGAAACTCTTCAGCAGAAAAACTATTGTAAAAAGTCTCCAATACTAAAACCCTAAAAAAACAATTTCCATGATGGAAATTCATTCAAAAGTTCGATTCACTCACCTTCTTAAACGAAGGGTTCAAGGAAATAGCGTCGCTCGTTCTGGAAAAGTGGTTGTGACCCAGAAGAATCCTCAGGAACCTTTTATGGAACTCTCAAAATCTATACATGAAACTATATCCGAAACGATATCGTTCAAATTCTTGAAGATGGACCGCTCACCACTAAACAAATCCCCTCTCGAGATTCTCGTTCATCACTCCCTTTTCCAAAAAATGGCACCACTTCTTGCCGTTCTCATGATCAAGGATCACCTACAGCGCAAGTCTGTTCTGAGGAATTCACCCACATAATTTTGGCATAACCTCATTCCTGACTTTCGATTTAACGGAAATAGAAAAGGGATCCGAATGAATCGGTCCTATTGGAAAGAAAAACTTATCAATCTGTACCAGAAACTAATTATCATATGTGTAATGAGAAGTGAAAATCTTAGCGAGGCAAAAGGTGTAAATTGGAATGCCTACTCCTCAGAAACTTTCTTTAAAATCAATTAGGATTATTTTCGGTGAAATAAAAATTAAATGAAAAATACAGTATGTTTTCATAAACGCTACACGGCCACCAGAGCAAAACGATATTTGTCGTGGAGTTTTCATCTCCTGGCGAGACGAATATAACCCGAAAAGAGGAGAAAAAATTAATAAATTATCGAATCTTTCTCTTCGCAGATTCTATCCAGATCACTCTGTCAAGATGGTTGTTTTGATTATTGGAGTCCTTGGTGAAATGATATCCTCTCTACTCTCGAATCTTGAAATCATACCGGCCCGCCGCACTAAGGCAGAAATCTTAACCGGAGAGATGCAGAAGTTTCACTGCGCTTGCTCAGGTTACATGATTCTCGGAACCAATGATCACTTACCTGTGAAGTGGCCATTAGTCATCAAAATATACAATGAATTATTTCAATAATAGATGAACAATAAGTACTCACAAAAAGTGAAACCTAGAAAGTGGGGGGTAAACAAACATATTTAAAATATGTTGGTTACAAATAGTTATACCCAAATAATTTGATTTTTCTAGAACACAACTGTCCTCGATTGAAGACAAAATGAGAAAAACCAAGAAAGTACTTGATAAAAATAGCTGGCGACATTCTTCCTCTCATCGCCGTTGTATACTTTTTGAGTTATGGTTGAAAAAATGAAAATAGTGCTTACATTTCAGGAGTTATTATCATTTTTATATAAAGCCGACGTCTAGCTTCACATTGAAATCCTGAATCAGCATCCCTGAAAACAAAGATTCGATGAGAAACATACTTTTAATTTTTTTTCTCAGCAAAATCCTTGGACGATTGAATTATTCTTTGAACTGCTATACACTTCGTTGTAGTATTATAGGTAGTTTCAACAAATTGATGAATTGATATCTCACATATAATCAGTAACAAATGTTTCTGTTGACTTCAATAGTTTTGGTATATACATATCATTATCACATTTTGAACTAATAACAATATTTCACAACTGTTTTTCATTACTTTCATATTCCAAAGTAATCTTCAATTCGTATATGTTTTCCCTTCTCAGTAAAATAATTGCATGAACTTTTTAAAATTTCAGATTGTTATTATCATCTTCTATTAGTATTGAGTGTCTGGCTATCAGTGGTGCCATAAGTACCACACCGTCAGCGGCCATGGAAATCCTTCTAGATCTACCTACTTCCCCATTCTTCTGGAGAGAGAGGCTAGATGAACTGCATACAGACTTGTGCACATTGCCAATTGCACAAATCAATTTAATGCAGAGTGCAACAGACTGCTGGTTGACACTGGAAGTCACAGCATTCTGGAAATAACGTCTAACTTTATGCCTCCAACTGTCAACTACGAACTGCCTCATAAAGTACTGTTCCCGTGTAAAGAGGACTGGAACCTCTGGGAGAAGAAAATATTAAGAGCAGATAGTTGTTGATTCACAGATGGATCAAAAACACCTTCCGATTCTGGAGCAGGTGTTTTTAGTCGCAGATCCAGAACAGAGATATCTACCTGCCTAGGAACTTATGCGACTGTATTTCAAGCGGAAAGTTACGCTATTGATTTATGTGCAGAGAGATTGGAAAAATGTAACCTCATACACAAGTCAATAAAATATTCGCGGACAGTCAAGCGGCGTTTGAAGCTCTTAGCTCCTACCAAGCAATGTCTAAATTGGTAGCAAATTGCCAAAAACGACTCTCCTCGATAGGAAGACTTAACAAATTGTGTCTGGTCTGGATTCCTGTCCATACTGGCCTGGAAGGCAATGAAGCTGCAGACTCCATTGCAAAGGAGGGTGCTGCAAGCAGCTTCATCGGACCAGAACCTGTCATTGGCATCGCTTTGGGCTTTGCCAAACAAACATTGAAAACCTGGATGGCAAGAAGATTTATTGACTTCTGACAGAATCTTCCAGGATTGGCTCACTCTAAGGCATTTATTCATTCGAAACTTGATACCAAACAGTTGTTGGACTGCAGTATGGATGAACTATGATGTCTAACAGACCTTCTTACAGGTCACTGTCATTTGAATCATCATATGCAGAGACTCGGACTGTCGGAAGACAGTGTGTGTCGCCTCTGTTTGGAAAATGATAAAACAGCAGAGCATATACTTTGTGCCTGCCCCGCTGGGGACCGAATCAGGTTTTTAGAGTTCGACAGAGCCGTACTCTTAGCATCTGACCTGAAAGACCACTCACTAATCAGCTTCGTTGAGAAGCTGGGTTTATTTGGTCGAATGTGAATAGGTGTGAGCCACAGTGAACCCTTGCGGGTTGCGGTGGAGTGTCGAATAGACCCAACCACTTTAGACCTAACCTTACCTAGTGTTGAGAGATATCAGGTAGTTTCATTCTCAATATTTTCTTATGAATGTTTTTCTTCAGAAATTATAATATTCCAGATCTATAAAATCATTTATTTCCGAAAATTTAAAACTTCTACACCTAAGTTTTTCACATCATGTCAACCAGAGTTGATTAAAGATATCGTGATGTATATTGTTTGAAAAATAGAAAACGAAAAACTCTTGCCTAGTCTATTTTATTATACATAATCGTGCGTAACTACACAAAATCACAGATCAAGTTATCTTCAGCAAATCAAGCATTTAATCGCTGGTTTTGATGAGAGGATGGACAGCCATTGAGGGGCCAACGCTTCCAGAAGTGCCAAGAACATAATCTTGGAAGTTAGACTCCACAGCCCACATAAGCTTCTTGTATCCAGGAACCACTTCAGTAGCCAATCTGCAATCGTCACCCTTCTGGACCAAGAGGAAGTTCTCTTGCTTGAAGGCTGTCTCGCTGTTCCAGATAAAAATATCAGATTCACCTTTGAACCTGAAGAAGAGAGCTGCACCATTGTCGTTACCGAGAAGAACGATTTTCCCGCAGGTAGGTTTGGGTCCCACATCGATGACGGCACCGTTGGCTTGACCTTTCTGCAAAAACTCAGTCTTGATGGAGAACAGTCTTGGAGAGGAGAGGTAGGTGAAGTAGAGGACATTGCCGCAAGGTTTTCTGGCAAGCTGGATGTAGAGGACGTCTTTCATGTCATCAGCGCAGGCTACGGCTGGTCCAGGAAGAACGATACGGAATCCTGTTCCGAGTTGCAGGTCCAAGACAATGATGGCTCCGGAGCCTCCATCTGAAATATAAGCGAATGGGCGCCCGTCTTTAGCGTAGTCAGCAATGATGTATTGGAGACGGCTTTCTGGAGTGACGAAGTCGTCAAGTTTGATCACTTTGACAACCATGCCAGTTTTCAAGTTGATTCCGACAACTTTGGGGCTGCAGCGACGAACTGGTTGTTCCAAAGTGTTGACCAAACCAATATCCAGAACCCACAAGTGGTCATTAGCGTCGATGGATAAATCCACGACATTCTGGAAGGCCTCGCAGTTTCCTTCTTCCTGTAGGGGCCAGCATGGGTAGGGAACAAGCATTGCCTTGTATCCCTTGGTCTTGAGGGAGAATGTGGCTAGAGTGAATGGTACCCCGTGCTTGTATCTGGGAAGGGCGATGTAGGCTTGGTCTTTATGGATCTGCATTCTGGTGGCGATTACGTTCTTGGGGACGTAACGGCCGGTGGTTTTGTAAATGTTCCTGGTACTTTCACATGGGAAGGCCAGTTCGGTACCTGTGAGTTTGAAGCTCAAGTCTGGGATGAAGTTCCTGCTGCAACAATTGCCATAAGCCCCGATTACGAGGAACGATGACACGAAAAGTACCGAGTAGAGACCCATGTTGACCTGTAATTGAAATTGTTTTCGTAAGAATTATTTAATGTTTTTTCTTTCAATGTGAAGATGATTCTCATCACATAAGTTTCATACAGAATTTTACCAAAAAATTGTTTGGACATTACCTGATTGACCCCTACACGGTAAAGGGGAAACAACTGAATACTCGAATTCGCATGAATTCAATTTTATATGCGATAGTTTTCTGTTGTTTGGATCTTGAAACATGTCGAAGAGACAATGTTATTTATTCATACTGACAACGTGACCTTGAAATTTCCAATATTTGTTGATTTCATATCGGAGTTCAGGTTAATGTATCTACCTCGAATGGAAGTCATTGTCCTCCATTTATTAGATTGAAGAAAATATTTTCTCGTATTTCAATTTATGCAGTTTCATTTATAGGCTACTCCGGAATTTAATGCAAACCTGCACTGAAGATTTTTCTCATGAAATGTATTTGTTATCATTGATAATCACCCATATACAGTGCGGTGATGTGAAATATGTTCTTGGTAATTTCTGATATAACTAAAGGTTTCGGTGAATGTAAAATATCCGTAGTTGCGGAAAATAAATTGATTCTCAGATGGCGCTTTAATGGTGCATAAATATAATGTTGCATCACAACCAAAAATACAATTATTTTTCGCAAAGTTATGAGCCACAATGACGAATGAACAAATATCTTTCCTGACCTGACATCCTTTGACTTTTCTATTTGCTTACTTGAAATAGGGTCAGTGTAATCGGGAATGCAAGAAAATATTTCTCATAAGCATAGTAAAAATCGAATTTCAAAAAATTACTCTATTATTACACAAACATTTCAAAAATAGAATAATTTCTTATGGTTGATAGTCTTTTCCGGAATCTGTCCGTTTTCGTTATGAAAAGGAGAGAAATTAGAAATTCAGAAAACTCAATGGCTTCCACAGAGAAAGTGAATCATATTAAAGATATGTTCATTTACCATTTTGCGTACATCAGTAATATAGGCAATCTATATCACTTTGTAGAATCAATGTATCGGCCTCACTTTTGATTATTTTGAAACATTTCAAATGGACAGTAAATAGCAAACCTTCACTTCCATAGAAGCTGCTAATAAAATCGTTGATGAAAAATTGAACGACGGTGGTTCCAAATGTGATCCTTGAGGAGCACCTGATGTTACTGCGATGGTATGAAAATAGTAATGAATAACCCTGACAATTTGCGTTTTTCCCGTAAGATAGCTCTTGAGCCAATGCAAAATTAACCCATCAACGCCGTCTAAACAAAGTTCATGAGTCAAAAGGTCATGATTATCGTTGTCGAAAGCTTTGGAAAAATCAGTGTATACAGAGTCAACTTGTGAATCTCTTTCCAGAGCATGCGATAATAAATCAACGTATGTATTCAGACCCAGTTCCGCTGATTGTTCAGATGTAAACCCGAATTGTTGGGTTCCTGTAATTGGGAAGCAGTCGATTCATTTGTGTATTTGTTATCTTCATTAATATAAGGCTAGCTACTGGAAATGGATAAATAGAAGTACTATCCTAGTGATTCACAATTTGATTTTAATTCAAGTTCCACTGGCAGAGAGGTGTTTCAGCCTGTAGGACATCATCAGTAGGGGAGATCCTTGTTCCTTGTGACACTTTTCTTCGAACCTTCATAATTTGAGCAAGAACTGACTTGAAGCATTGATTTTTTTAATACCGTATAATAATATGATCATCGAAATATTCTAATGCTGACCATAATCCAGTAACTTTAAACCCATTTTGAATATTTGATGGCGTGAAAGCTAATAGGTAAGCATTTCCAAAACATTCATCAATAGTATATATTGTCAGTGGCGTTCCTGGATGCTGCATAAGCCACTCGTTACAAGCTTTGTTATAATATTTCTTAAGTGGACCAAAGACACTTCGATCTGAACGTTGTAACTTGTCGCTTGTGTGGGGAGGGAATGTGAACATTACTATACAATTTTCTTTAGCCAACTCTATTATTTTTATTGATAGGTGACTCTTGTGATCATCCATGATAAGCAGCACTTTATTGTCTTTACTACGTCTTACATATTTTATAAAATGCTTTAAAAAGTCTTCAAATTTCTGGGAGTTGGACCACCCACTGAAATTACCAAGTCCCAGCGTCTCCGGAGAAGCACCATTAGTCATGTGGCTCTTGAAGTGAACTCGCAGGAATATCATGCAAGGGGCTACCGAATTGCCACGGGCATTAACGCAAGCAATAATTGTGACATTATTACCTCTTTCTGCTGATGTCACAGTTCCCACTTGTTTTGATCCTTTTGGACATCAGCCTTGTTAAGGGCTGTGGCACGGCCAAGACTGGTAGCTTCGGGTTTTCCCAGGCTCAAATTTTAATGACGTTTAATAAAATATTCATAGAAAGTCTTGCCAGCTTGCTCATTTATATCCCAAGCACTTGGATACGTTTTCTTCAAAGCTACTGCATACTGATATGCTAGTTTCAAGAATTGCTCTTTAGGTATGCCATAATTAAATTTGGATGCTGTTAAACAATACTCGATCAATTGCTCTTCCTCTTCATCAATGAAGACTCTCTTCACAGCCCTATTGGGTTTATAGATGACAATTGTTTTCTTTTTCAGCTAACGACCTATTGAAGATTTTGAAACCTTAAACTCTTCGGCAGCTTTTCGGATAGAACATCGTTTTTCAATCACTTTTTTAACGGCATTTTCTGCAATTGGTTGGGGTCTAGTAACGTTATTTTTACTCCGAGGCATCTAAAATAACAGTAAAAGGAATAATTATAACTTAACTAAAGTAGGATATAGAAAATATCAAATGCTTGTACCTAGGGACAGTCCCAAGGTAAAAAAATATCACTGTCCCAAGGTACGAATTTCATTTGTTTTGCAAAAAAGTGTGGTCAAGTTTTTTCAGCCGGAAATCCAGTATTGAACTGCTAAATAAGTTATTACAAATGTAGTTATCACCTAATTATACTCATATCAGATTACTTACTTTGAAATTTTTCAGGAAACACAACAATTATTACGCATATGAAAAAAACGCACATGAAAAATTTGACAACGCACCCGCAATGACGTAACGAGTCAAAATGGCCGACTTTGTGCAGTACAATCGAATTGTTGTTTGAAATGGCCGCTAGATGTCGCTTGAGGCAATTCTCGGGCTGAATTTTTTAATGATTATGAAGTTGTCCCGAGGTACATGGAGTCCCAAGGTACAAGGATCTCCCCTACCTGGTAGATGGTCCTCGATGCCGAACAGGCTGAATGATAACCCAGGTTCATTTCTAATATAAGTTACTAGCAGTTAGGTTTTCATAATTATAATAGTACCTATCATCTACGAATATGTCAACAGAAAATAAGGTCAGTGATTCCAAAAAATGATTTGATGATGCTAATGTGAACTCGTGAAATAAAAGCAATATGATAGAAGTTCAATTGTCATTTTGAATTCAATACTTTTGTGACGATGTCGCTTACTCTCCGACCAGTGTCCTGTGTAATAAAATTATTCATGAATCCAAGGAACGTATGTATAATGCAAAGACTTTTGGAACGTTCGATCGCACTTTCAGAGATAACATATTTCAGAATCAATTATCCTGAATATTCCTCAGTTTGAATTTCAAACGTCAATTGTTATTCTGTTTGCATAACGAATCATTAAATACATTGCACTATTGTCATTGTTATCGGCAATTAAATCAATCACGACAGAAGAGAAAACAATAATTATTCCACAATGGATACCCAACTATTCCTTGGAAATTTTGATGAAGGTATCACGGTAAATCTCATCATAAGAGGTCAACAGCTTGGAGTATTTCATTCGTAGGATTCGTAGTCGATATCAACACATGGGCTAAAAAATACCGCACCGAAGGAAGAAAACGCGTTATTACTTCATTATCAACGTATTCTCCATCGTCACACAATCATTCCAGCGCCACTCTAACATCTCAAAACCACTTTAGTAGAACGATTTATCTTTTACCTCGTAATGGGCCTCAGTTTCAGCAATAACCTTCGAGCGAAATTTTTAGCGGTCAGCATTTTTTTGAGGTCTGCGAACAGGTAGTAGTCGCTTGGAACCAAATCTGGCGAATACGGTGGATGTGGGAGCGATTCGAAGTTCAGTTCATGTAGTTTTGCCATTGTTTTGATTGATTTGTGACACGGTGCGTTGTTATGATAAAACTATATTTTTTCTTTGCCAAATACGGTCGGTTTTTGCAATTTCAGCCTCCAAACGCTTCAAAAACGCTATATAAAATACACTGTTGATGTTATTTTCCTTCTCAAGATGAATATTACACCATGCACATCCCAAAATACCGAGGCCATAATAAGAATCCTTATTTCGATACTAACTATAGTCCTCTGGCAATCTTTAGAATTGAACAAGCTCTGTCATTGGTTTGGTCATAACTGAAACATCAATATAGCTTGTAAGGAGTAGTGTTAGTCATCTCCTGATAATGCTACCTCAGTTACCGAAACAAGCATCGAGAAATATTATTTTTGGTCTTGTGAAGAGAACAGTGTTGTTGATAGATTATGTTAACGTCAAAGGTTCCACAATTTTACTCAAGATGATTTAACGATTAGATTGAACCTTTGGTGTGAAAGTTGAATAACTTTTTTCGAGATCAATTGCCCTAACACCAAACTGATATTTTTGCACCCGACGCGCGTTTCGCAAACAAAGTTAGCATCCTCAGGAGAAGAAAATGTTCTTCTCGTAAGGTAGTATGTTTATAGGTATCAAATCATTGTAGCATGTTGACTTGTTGTTGTCTCTCCGGACAAATGTGGAGAGGAGGTAGATCTAGAAGGATCTCCATGATCGCTGACGGTGTGGTACTGATAGCACCACTAATGGCCAGACAAGCCTGTCTCTGTAAGCCAGAGACCTTCGCCTGGGCCGTTTTCTGTAAAACCTTCGGCCACCAGGTAATTGCACCATAAGTGACCATAAATCCATATGGATTTGTTTGGGACCTGAACCCCAAATTTTACCACAAGTCCTTCGACATGTCCATAGGGACAGTCTGGCTTTGTATGAAATGTTTACCAAATGAGCGTTCCAGGTAAGTTTTTTATCAAGGACAATGCCAAGATATTTCACCTCCGTTCCAAATGGAATGACCTCACCATTGAGAAAAAGTGGCGTTAGATCGTCCAATTTTCTTCTCCTGGTGAAGGG